GAAATTTTTCTTGCGGGACACGGTGGGTAGTCCCGAGCGGGCAAGATAGCTCCATCTTGCCCGCTCGGGTAGCCAATCGCAGCGCAGGATTTGATTCATCTTGCCCGCTCACTGAGCTAGCCATATAATAATTTTGATTATACAGAAAAAGGTTATAGCACCCTATATATACATAACAGATAGCCTACACTGTATCCAGCTTGCCAAGGTTTTGTTTGGTGTCTTGCAAAGTGTTACATTTTTGTTGAATAACAAAAAGAGATAATTATCAGTTCTGAGAAGAGACCAGTTTTCAGAAAGTGAAGCTTGAAGAAAATTTTAAGCTTGAAGAACAGATAATGTCTAAGGACAAATATCCAAGCATATTTTTAATGTCAAACGGAGGATTTAAAAAAAAAAAAAAAATGTAGAGGCTATTATATGTCTCTTATCCTTCAATTTTCATAACAAAAGTGATCCTGAAAATCGGGGATTATATAAACTATAGCCTCCATTTGGCACGGAAACGTGCTTGAACACGTACAGTTTTGAAAATTCCCCAGGTTTAGCTGGGAAATATTCAGTCACATGACGCATTAAGACCAATCACACACGAGCGAAAATACTTAATGGATTATATAACTTGGACATTCCCCAGTTTTAACTGGGATATAAGTTTTAACTGGTGTATATTCAGTCACAACAACACATTAGCTCAACCGTGTACAAGTAGAAAATGGTTAATGATGACGATTTCAGATAAACTTCACTAATTCGCTGCCATTACACATGTACAAGGTGGATCTCCAAAAACGTACATGCACAAATTTGCAATGTTTTAACTTCTTTGTGGTGCATAAGTGTTACAGCAACTCTGCCATACCTGCACATTAGTAGGTAATTTTGTGAAAATGTCGTAAATCTGATCCTTGAAACCTCTTGATAACATTTCATCAGCTTCGTCCAGCACAAACATTTTGATATTTTTGGTCACTGAAAAAATATTAAAATATCATTAATGAGCAAGCATAACAGGTGGCCCTATGCCCTACTGGGGGCTATAAGGAAGAATGATAATGATGATGATGAATAAGCAAGCTTCTGTAACATCATTTAACCAACTTTTTGTAGCTTGTACATAGACTAGAAACTCAAAACCAGGAAGTTTAAGGTTAACTCCTACTTTGCTAAACAAATTTAAGGAGCTTAGCTATGGTATTTTAGCTAAACAATTTGTTTAGTTTGGTTAGTTATGAGCCCTACACTTCAACCTTCAAAGGCCAAATTTTTTTAGACAAGGATTTTCCCCACACAATATGCATGGTCGGTATTTTCACAAAGCAACGTAGCCGAAAGAAACAGCTGGCCACTGAAAATTGTCCTAGCAACATTCTACAATGTCTAATCAATTTTACAATATTCCTGTACATGATGTCCAAGCAAATTACATTTTGGTACATTGGAAAAGTGGTTCTTTACAGGAGGTGGTTGCCTGCTAGAGGAGGTCAGTTGTACTGTATAGTCGGACTCAGGTTTCAATAGACAGCTACGTGTAGCAGGCAAGTGGATTGTACAGACACGGGGCTTGAAAAAAGTGCTGCCCAGTCATCTGGGACAAGTAGATTAAAGTAACTTTTAAGCAAGCAACTTTTCATTCTGACTTGCCCGACAGGTAAGAGCCCAGGCAAGTTGTCTCCCAACTAACAAAAACATCGTAAACTAAGACATACCCAGGCAAGGCAAGCAAAATATGATAGCTACTAACTTGTTCAAATGGGAAGCTGAGATTTAAATTTTTTCAAGTTCTGCAGACAATCTGGAATCTCAAATCAGGGTGTTTACATCAGGGGTTTCATTAATGTTTTCCGCAACAGGGCAACTGGTTTTCACATGCAGGCAAAACGTTTTGAACTGAACTTCTTTATAAGAAAACCTCTCCCCTAGATGGTCTACCAGGCGGCAAAAATCATCCTCACAGACGGTCAATTTGCCCGGTGCCTGACCCTTAATGAAACCCCTGTTACAGTATACAGTCAAGTGAAAACTCACAGAGATAATTTCTACTGATCATGTCAAACACTCTGCCAGGAGTGCCCACAACAGTGTGGATTGGTTTTTCTTTGAAAGTAATGATGTCTTCAGAGACACTGGTTCCACCAATACAGGCATGGCACTTGGCATTCATGTAATCACCAAGAGCCATCAAAACCTTTTGAATCTAAACAACAAAACAACAGCACATTACAGCACATTAAAGAAACTTCAAATTACTGCATTCTATGGGCGAGGTTGATGGTATTTCTATTGAATCTGAATTCTGTAAGATTATACTTCCCTAACAAGATACTAGACTGCAAATGGTCAACTTCTTTCCCTCAGACAATGCACACAGCCAGAAAAAAATGTGTAAATCACACATTACTTCTCGCATAAGCAAAATTGTCTCTCAATTTTTCTCACACTTCACCTCTTTTTGTGCATAGAGGAACTTATGAATTAAGACAAAGCATTTTCTCACACACAACTGGGGTCCCACACCCAACACACCAGCATCTGGACACCCACATGTGTGTTAAAAAAAACTGTTTTCTGCGTCATCCATACTTCAACCAGCACAAAACTAAACTATGCTACTCATAATGTAACCATATAATAAATTTAGACCTCTTGGTCTTGAAAAAAAAAACATTTTTTCCCTCATCTGCAGCAATGTTAGAATTGTTTTTAAATTATGATAGTGTACAGCATAACATAGTAACCTATTAACAGCCACCATCTTCTTGACATGAAATGCAATTTACGTAGCCATGGTTTTAGGTCAATCTCCGTGGTTCACCACAATAAAATGATTGAGTAATGCATTTCCTCTTAAAAATCTGATCTTGTGATTCCCTTGATAAAGTTAACACACATGCAAGACTGAAAAACAAATGGCATTTTGATCTCGCTGAGATAAGTTGCAAATTATCTCCGCAAGATCGAAACATTGTTTCTTTTAATCTCTACTTTTTATCCTAAAATCTGATTGTTATTTCCTTTACGTTTGTAATTTATGAAGTTGACAAATTTGTTTACTGTTAAACACTATTGGGCAGTGAAGGAAATAGCACTAAAGAAATTAAGTATTATTAATATTTATTATTATTATTATTATTATTATTATTATTATTATTATTAATTTAGTAATTGGCAAATTCATCTAGATGTATATATATACCTGCTGTGCTAATTCCCTGGTTGGAGCCAGCACAAGTGCTTGGCATCCCCTAAAAGTCACGTCAAGCTGTTCAAGGATTGCAATTGAGAATGTGGCGGTTTTCCCAGTACCTGACTGTGCTTGAGCAATGACGTCATAACCTAAGGAAATACAGACTGTATAAGAATACAAACAACAGTCCACTATGGTGCAACCCTGACATAATTAACTCCAAGAAAATAAATATTAAAAAACTGGATCATTGGATAATGCAGTTAAAGAGTTTCCATTGGCTTTGCCATCATAGTAAATCAGCAAATGTACCATGTTCTACAAATATGGTAAGCGTACACATAATTTTTTGTGGGTTTTTTTTATTTGTATTTTAGTTTTCTCTGGTTTGGGAACATTTTAATAAAACAATTTATTCCACACACACTTCTCAGATATGAGATGATTATAGCCAACATGGTGTTGCATGCCTCGTTGGTAATCTACCATCTCTTATCCAAAGTGTGCTTGTGGAATAATTGCTAATTAACTCACTGACTCCTGAAAGTTTTTAGTGTGTACCCAGCCGTGAATACCAGACAATTTGACAGCATTAAAAGTGCATTTTTTTGGTCANATTATTATTATTATTATTATTATTATTAATTTAGTAATTGGCAAATTCATCTAGATGTATATATATACCTGCTGTGCTAATTCCCTGGTTGGAGCCAGCACAAGTGCTTGGCATCCCCTAAAAGTCACGTCAAGCTGTTCAAGGATTGCAATTGAGAATGTGGCGGTTTTCCCAGTACCTGACTGTGCTTGAGCAATGACGTCATAACCTAAGGAAATACAGACTGTATAAGAATACAAACAACAGTCCACTATGGTGCAACCCTGACATAATTAACTCCAAGAAAATAAATATTAAAAAACTGGATCATTGGATAATGCAGTTAAAGAGTTTCCATTGGCTTTGCCATCATAGTAAATCAGCAAATGTACCATGTTCTACAAATATGGTAAGCGTACACATAATTTTTTGTGGGTTTTTTTTATTTGTATTTTAGTTTTCTCTGGTTTGGGAACATTTTAATAAAACAATTTATTCCACACACACTTCTCAGATATGAGATGATTATAGCCAACATGGTGTTGCATGCCTCGTTGGTAATCTACCATCTCTTATCCAAAGTGTGCTTGTGGAATAATTGCTAATTAACTCACTGACTCCTGAAAGTTTTTAGTGTGTACCCAGCCGTGAATACCAGACAATTTGACAGCATTAAAAGTGCATTTTTTTGGTCATTTATGGGAAGCACAGACAATAGACCTTTTTAGCTTGAGCAGTTTGTTTTCCCATTAGAGACCATGTGATAATCTCTAGAGAATTGTTCTTTTATCCATCTAAAAATTGTTCATTCATATACATGCTACTATGTGAAAATGTGAAAGCAAGAATTCTCAATAGCATTATCACATGGTCTGAAATGGGGCAACAAACCACCCAAGCTAAAAAGGTTTTCAGCAAGAGGGCAATTGGTTTTCATAGGCAGGCAAAAAATTTTGAACTGAACTTATTTTCAAGAAAAAAGTTCCTCTAGATGCAGGGTCACCTCTTTTGCAGCCGTGGAATTTCACTGGCAGCCCGCGCTTAGCGACAACCCTGTAGATGATCAAACCAGACAAGCAAAATCATCCTCATAGCTGGTCAATTTGACAGTCAACCAGCCCTTAGTGAAACCCCAGGGATAGTGTCCAAACTAACAAGTAATTTGGACAGTTCGATACACAGCATAATTAACAAGTAGCCTAGTTTATCCGAAAAAATTTGACACTTTTAAGAGCATTTTGAGCCTTATAATTAACAAGCAATACGACTACATCCTAGTCCAATAATTTAGAAAAAATTGTATGAAAGAGATTCTGGCAAAATTGGATGAGGCTGTACACTGATGCCAATTTGGCTGTCGGTAGAATTTAGACAAGCATGTAGTCCTTTTACATATACAACTGAGCACAAAATTATGCCTTACCCAATGTTTGAATATTTTTTAATTCAGAGGTATGTTTCTTCTTCTTTGCAGTATATGCTTTGTGAAATCAAACAGTCAAACAAACTGATTCGGGTTTCGTTAAGAGCCCGGCATCATCAAATTAACCAGCTGTGAGAACGATTTTGCCCAGCTGGTTTGGCCATCTAGCAGAAAGTTTTTCTTATGCAAAAGTTCAGTTCAAATAGTTTTGCCTGCTTGTGAAAACCAGTTACCCTCCAGGTGAAAACATAAATGAAACCCTCTGCTGATTGCCGTGGATGAAAACCAAGAGATAAAATAGAAGTTCCCCTTATATAACCCACTCGTCTGCCATCTTATATCCATTGGACATAGCAGTTGAATGATGTGAAACAACATTTTAGCTTCATTTACAACTGGAGATGTAATAAAAGAATTGCTAGAGCTACTTGTTGATTATTGGAGAGGGAAAACTCATTTCCAATGAGTTTTAAATAGTAAGGTTGAAATATGTCCATTCGAAACATTTTTTTGGCTCTGTAATTTCCCAACCACAATCACAACATGAGGGCTTGGTTTAACTACAAGGAAAAGGGTCAGTTTGTCAAGGTATACTGTCTTTTAACAGCAAAAATGATCAACCCTTGAAACATCGTGGCTCCCTTTAGCAACTTTACCACTCTGTGTGACATGCAATAATACAATTCCTCTGAAAACCCCAGTGCCTTTAACTTTGTGATGCTTTACACATCCAAAGAGCTTAGCAATATTAAAGGTTTAGCACAATGATCATGTGAATGGGATTCCCTTGTTGCCTTGAATGTAATTCAATTACTGTCACCATAACATTTTTACAGTGGATTTCTTCATCAACTTATCACCAGTATTGACCAACAGATCTTTCCAGAAACATGATTGACTTCAGCTTATTTTGTATTTGCTTCTTGACATGTCGTCATTTCAGAACTGCCTCTCGCAATTACAGGCCCAAATAGTCAAGTTTTAGTTTAGAATTTTGGTGAATATTTTCTCAACCAGTTATCGTAAAACATCTGATCGAGAAGAGTCCCCATACAACTATCAAAACGTTCTACAAAAGGACAGTAGCCAGTGATCATCCACGAGTTCTTTATCACGGTTCTCATAAAATACCAGTCCGCGACAGAAATTATACGTAGAGTGTTTAAAACGATTTGAAACAAACCTTTACAGCATGGAGCGATTGCTCGCTGTTGAATTGCGGATGGTTTCTCAAACCTACAATCGGAAAAAAAAGTAAGCTTATAACTATTACGTATACGCCATATTAGATTCAATGGAAGTCTGCTTTGTTCAAAATTGAATGAATCATCAAGCAGTTGTCGACAAAGGTACCCGACAAAGTGTACACTCACCCGTAAGCATAAATGCCTCGGAGTAAATTTTCTTTCAAACCCATGCAATCGAAATTGTCAATAACTTCATTCCAGTCAGTCTAGAGTGAAAAAATAACGGCGTGACATCTTATTAGAAATTGATTACGAAATCTATTCAAAGTTCGGCACGCGAAGGGAAAATTTACTGTTTTTTTTAATTGAATTTGGTTAGACTTTGAACGAACCTCGATATCATCGTCTTCTTCGACTCCTGGTGCGCCATTTTGTTCCTCACGACCCCGTTCGGAGTCAGGTTTTCTAAACAAAGGACATCAAATGGCAAAAGAAAAGAATTAAAAGCCTTGCAACTAAGAAATACTCACTAGCGACTGAAACACGTGGTTCAAAATGGCGGATGGTACCGAAAAATCACACTTGAAGACACAATTTTCTCCGGTAATAATAGTCCCTGTACAAGGTTTGAAGGCGCAAGAAACAAGTTCAACTAAAGCTTATGATAATGTGCTATGCATGAGGATACTTTATACATCAAAATACGGTAAAAAAGCGAAATACTGACCTTGTATCGCTAAAAGAATCGTAAGACATCTCGCACGAAGTAAGCAGCGGGAAAAGGAAGAAAAAGTGCTGAGAGCCGGTATATAGGGGGGGTCAAAGAATTGCAGCAACAGTACCCTATGACGTCACGTAACTTCCGGAAAACTCTCATTTTTGCCTGAAACCCTCGAGAGCATGTTGGAAACCTCTTTTTCCAGTTTTCAAGCAAGCGCTTTTCCTTTTCTCCGTCTTCTTCTTTTTCTTTTTTTTTCAGATGCATTTTATAGGTCTTCGTTAATCACTCGATAATTTGATTTTTTAGAATTATAGACAGAATCTCTCAGACCAGACTATAAGCCCTGGCGCTTTGGCGATCAGCGACCAAAGCTAAGTGTTTTCTCGTGCATTTCATCATGCAGGGGAAGGAAAAGGAAAAATAGGCGATCTAGCAACACGTAGACTGGGGTGACAGAAAATTTCTTTTCTGACGCGGGGGAAGAGGTAGGTGGAAGTGCGTGTCGAAGAACCGATCAAACCGGAGATACCTAATGTTGACCTTTTTTGGTGCAATCAATTTATCGCAGCGTAATTTTGTTTATAGATGAGTGTTCTGTTTCACGTGAAATTGTAGTGAAATCCCACATGCCAAGAAAATCGGTAGGCAATCGTAATCGCATCAAAAAGAGACCAAAATTGGTTGAATGGTTTTCAACCGGAAGTCAAATGTTCTAATCGTGACCGGAAACTGCTAAGGAGTACAAGTCCTGATTAGGACTGATTTGGAATGTTTTATTTAGGTAATTCTAATTATCAGTGTATAAATGTTAAGAATTGTAAAGTTTCTCTTCAGTTTATTGCTTATCCAAAAGAAGAAAAAGAACTAGACTGAGATTCGGAACACATTCATCCTAAATTTATGAACAAGTGTTCATTGACTTCACATAGAAAAGAAATCAGGCCCGAGTTTTAAGAACAAGAGCAACTATCTTTACACAATGGAAATGCTTGGGAATGGGGACATTACACAATGGAAGTGCTTGGTTTTAAATGCTGCTGTTGAAAAAGTATTTAGCGGACAGACAAAGTTATGGGAAGCAAAGGCAAAGAAAGAAAGCAAAGAATTAACGAAGAGGATAATTCAAACAGACAGGCGGGAAAAGGATACCATTACAAAACGTAAACCAAAGGTGAGTCCGTGAAATTAATTAAGCTAAAATTTTGAGGGTTTAGTTGTTGGCCTGTTGGACATCTATCGGTCTGACTTCTACAATCGAGGCCATAACCATACGGCAGTTTGAGCCACTTTGTAGTTTTTGGATAAAAATAGCAATTTACTTCAGCACACTATTGGGTGTCGTGGGTCAAGAGAGGTCTCACAAAACTCTCATAGTTCAATCATGTTCTGGGAGTGTGGAGGGAAACACCTTTGTGCAAAAACCCTTGTCCTAAACCCTTTTGGCCAAGGCTGGAGCCTGCTGATATGGGTATTTGCAGTGCCGTTTGAGCAAGACACCTCACTTCCACACTTTGCCTATCCAGGACTCCCTCCTCCACAGAGGCATCTGTCGAGCTGCCTTGACTTCATGTGTAGGCTTGAATTGTGTAGGCTGGAGAGCGAACACTTAGTCACGTATCTTGAAAAATTTTGGCCTGAGTGTTTAAATCGGTCTTAACCATAACAATTCTTGTTGGGCTTTTTGTTTTATTATTACCTCTTCAGTGTTAATTTTTTTTTT